TCCGTTATTCCGTCTGCCATCTGTTGGGCGAACGTGAGCGGCTTAAATTGCAATTTATTTGTGGTTCTTATTACACGACTGGCCGACGGGTTACCTGGAATACTCGGAATAGTTATCATAGGTCATAATTTACTTCGCCAGGTTGGCTGGCCGACTCAAGGGCTGGGAGCGAACTCTAAGCCAATGCAAACGCATATTTATTCGGAAAGAAACGCAGCCGCAAACAACGTGGACAGGTGACGCAGTACCTGATTGTCCGAGGGACTGATTTATATATTTCTATAAAGTGCAAAAGGCGCCACAGATTTGAATTATGTAAATATGCATAAAGATTATTAACACTTGGCGCCCCAGAGGGGCGGCCTTCCAGGTAAACGGTTTGTGGCTTAACGAAGCGTTGAAAAGGCCAGAAACCGAGCAGGTTAAAGAGCAAAAAAGGCTGGCAAAGGACGAAAAGCCGAGCGGCTTTGCCACAAAACCGCCTTCAAGCGATTGGGTTTTGGGCTTTGGATTCGGATGCTGCCCCAAATGGCCTACAGAGCAGAGCCGCATAATTAATGCGCTTCTGCTTATCTGTGTGGGGCTGTGGGGCTGCAGATCCGTTGGGCTGGGTCGGTAGCAGGGCATAAGACTGGCCCGTAAATGGAACTGTGGAAAAGTTGGTTTTATGAGCGCCTAATTGAGTCATAAAACTCCGCTAATGCCTGCATAATGCAAGGCACACAAAATATTGACATGTTGCGCCACTTGTGGCACACAATCGCGCGACCTCTCCGCCCGATGGCCCGGTGCAGCGCGCCGCATGTAAATAAAGCTGACGACAACAATTTTCGCGCCTGCCTCGGAAAAAAATAAATCAATGCACATAAAACTCAGCCACAATCGACAATCGACTCGAAATAAAAGCCACAAAAATTTAATTTGTTTCGTTTGGTTTTCTGTTTCATTTTGTACGCCCGACGCGTCGGTCATTTACTTTTGGCTTCTCGCTTTTTGTCACAATTCCCTCTCTCTCTCTCTCTGTATCTCTCTCTCTCTCTATGTGTGCTTGACTTTTATTGCTGATTGGCTTTCTAAACAATTCGCTGTTTGGGGAACGGCCAGCTGTATGTATAAATGAAGGCGCATGCAGAGAGATAATGTAATGTCAAGATATATTGCCAGCAGCGTCTGATCGGGAATGATTTAAAGTTCTTCAATTCGAATCTGACCTTCCTCTTCACACATTTACAAAATCTACATCTAAAGCAGCTCGTTAATGCACTTGGCTAATTGCGCACATTGCGCTGCTATTTCCCCACTCGAATTGCATTCTCAAGTAATATTTATATGGCCTAAATATGGCGGGCTAATGTGTAGGCAATGCTATACACATTCTAGTCTGAAAAT